ACAGGTTTCACCTCGAGAGGAGATGAGATTCTCCAAGCCTGTGAATCCAAAGTGTCATAGGAGGGCAGCCCCACCAAACCTGCAGCCATCTGCTCAGCTGGGTGACGTGTGAAGCGATGCTTTGCAGGTCCTCCCCTCCAGCAGCGTGCCTCGTGCCAGGCACAGGGGACAGCCACCACCTGGGTCATGAATGGTGTCTCGGTAATGGTTCTGCAATGCACCCGGTGGGAGGCAACTGTGACTACTGCAAGGACGTGGTGGGATTATCACATCTCCTTCCTATTCCCTGGTACAGCTTTCTCAGGTCTACAACCTGTGTTTGCAGGGGAAAAAACTATGTAAAACGAGAAAAATTGTACCTAGGTCATTCTAACACAAGAAAAGCGGACCACAGAGATGGCCATTTTACAGTAGAAGTTTGGAGAGCAACAGGGCTTCAGAGCACGCATGAGGGTCTGGCTGCACGATGAGGGGGTGAGGAGGCCACACAGGTCAAAATGTCCCAACCAGGGCTCTCATCCTGGACTCTGATTCATACAAATGCACCCGGTGCCTCCCTGCCTCCTTAATAGCGTAGATCAGATTGCAGCACCCCAGGTATCTAAATTTAGCTTCTGAAGTCCATAAATTGATAGCAAAGCAACTAGTCTTATATTCTAAGGTGTCACACACCCATTTTGGTAGGGATTGTGAATGCTGAACAGAGCCCCAAGGATCGGTAGGTGCTTTGACAATGCTGCCATACAGCCCTTGATGCGCAGGAAGGACTTGCACTGACCTTAGAGACTCAGGCAGCCAAAGGCAACACGTAACCCATTAGCCACAACCTTGCAAGATAGGGATCAGCTCTGCACTGCTGTCAGAATTATTTTTTTTTGAGCTGTAACAGCTACTGTCAGGGCCGAGCGTGCAGGAGAGAGCCTCTGGCCAAGCATCCCAACCCACACGTCCACCGAATGCTGACTGCTCTCTCTGCTGGCCAACTGAGAAATGGTATTTTCTCAAGACAGACCTAGTCATGTGTTGTTAAGTTTGCAAAAATGCACTGACCAAGAAAGTGCGTGCCAGAAAAAACAGCATTTTTTTAATCTAAAGCCCCAAACAGTCGAATAAAAGAGGTTAGTTATCTATAAACTATATTCCTAACTAAAATGCAGTAGCAAAGAAGAGAAAAAGGCAGGAGACATGTGGGAGTCCTATCTCATGCTGCAGCTTACTGCATCAATAGCCTGATGGAGGCAAGAGGATGTCCCCCCATTATGAGTATGAGCCTATCAGGGTCTTGCCCTACGATGTCTAGAAGTAAAAGCATTGGCCAACAGAACACAGAAGCTGGGAGACCGTGGGATTGTGAGTAACTGACCTGGGGCAGGGGGGTTTCTTGCTTTGTTCAGTGCTTGACTCAAGCATGACCTAGTCCAAAAAGCCACCACTTAGGAGCTCTCAGCACATAAATACCGTAATAACCGGACAACAGCCAGACTTCACTGTGGGAAAGGACAAGGTAGAGAAGGCTGAAAGGGAAGGGAAAGCTAACCTGCACTAGAGATCATTGTACTGAAAGTGAATAAGCAGCACGTCTTTGGGCTGGACACATTCGAAGACTGAAAGTCTCAAGGGCTCTCGACAGCATGGAGGGTAGGCGAGCCCGCGGGGATCCGGCTGTGCCAGTGCACCCCAGCAAATCGGCCCTGTGGGAATGTCAGAGCTTCCGTATTATTTCATATCCCATCGTAGCACGAGCCCAGCTCCCCTGCATCAAGGAGTGAGGCTCTCCCTAGAGCACCACTTCAGTTGGGTGGCTGTACCAGCCAGCTTGGAGCTGTACCTGAGGACCATCGAGTCGTGCTCTGCCGTACAGCGTACCCCATACGTATGTACACCCGTGGTAGAAAGCCGCTTGCATCTTATGTGTTTAAACACATCAGTGATCAGAGAGCTGATAACTAGTGATGTCTGGCAGTGCAGCTGCCTCCTTGCCATCAGCTTTACAGTGGCAGTTCTTTGCTTGTACTTCTGACTGGCACGTGCTGCTTCTGCAAGCGCTCGGCAAAGTGGTCCTCACCAGACTTGGCTTTTCTGTCCGCAGCTTACCGTGGTGCTCAGTGAGTGAACCGTCGTGGGGCCACCTCATGCGTCAGTCTGAGGCGACAGCAGAAAGGTTAAACGCAGCAAGTTCCCCACAACAGTCAGGACGAGGGTGAACTGGAGAGAGAAAGGAGCAAAGAGGGGAGAGAATTCACCGAGTGCCTCTGATGGGGCACCAGGGTTAATCAGCATTAGGAAAAGGGCTGGTCTCTGCTAATCATGGTGAAGCAAGTAGCTCATCCTCTTATTTGGGGCCCTAAATGAGCACTTGGTGTATTCCTGAATTCTGGCTTTCTGACAGCACACCTTCTGAAATGGTGATGAAATGCCACCAGGCTTGGAGGGCTGCAGAAACAGCACCACAATATCAACATCCTCAGTACTGACTTAAATAATTCCCTGGTTTTTATCTAACCCTCTGGAATGACAACTTTTTACAAAAGCTACAAAAAGATTGTTAATTATAGAAGAGCTATCATCACACACACCCAGCCTGCTACATGTAAAATTAAGTATCTTGTTCAGAATGATTAAAAAGGACTGTTTCTTCACACTGATTTTTTTTTTAAAACTTGTATATTCCAAATCATGGTTGTGACTGTTCTCCTTAACAGCCTCGATCCTGAAACTAGACTAAACCAGGCAAATTCTTGTGTCTGAGCCTCACTAAAGGGAGTGCATCAGGTGCCAAAACCCAGCTGAGGATGGCAGCTCAGTATTTAAATCAAGTAGGAAGGGATAAGAACCTAATGTTCTCAAGTAGGGAAGGATGAGAACCTAGTGTTCTGCAGCAACTTAAAGGGTCTGTTGAGCAATGCACAGGAACTCTGTGTATAGGAGATTCAATCACTTACTTGAAGGTTAAAAAGTGCTTAACATAACCCATTCATCTACACCATGGATCTTTAAATTCTCAGTTCTGCTAGTGTCTAACCTCGGCAGTGCATGCGATGCCCTGGGCACTGAGTTAGCATCTATATAGAGCTCAGCAGGCAAACCTCTGCTGCTGTGCACATTCACAACCACACTTGATATCACTTAAAAAATAGTAAGTAACATCTTCCCTCATTCAAATCATGCCTGCCACACCAGCATCATGCAGAAAGAGCTGCCATTTCATCCAAACACTGATAAATCAGACCTTTTACATGGGCGTATCTGGTTAAATCCAGAGCTGCCCCCTCTCAGGAGAGCTCTGAGCACCATTTATCAGGAATCCCAAGCTCCATCATCTCGATCTCTTCTGGTCAAGCTCATTCAGAGATAGAAACTACAGATCAACTCTCCTGCTCTGCAGACGAGTGCCTCGACACCCGGCCTCCTACCTGCAGCCTGTGCTGCTACCCAAGGAATCCGTGTGGTAGCAGCCGCTCTGCACAGGCAACCAGCTGAGCTGCATCTGGCAGCACAGAAGGTGCAAGTTTCTACATTCAGCCAGCCCTTACAACACAGAAAAAGAGATGTCTGGATGAGGCGAGTCAATCCCACAGTTGTTCAACGGTCTGTCTCTGCGGTTAGCGTGCTGAGTAAATTCTCTGGAACTGATGTGAGATACAGTAATACAGTATATATAGAACAATACACCTATATAACAGAAATGTACATGTAAGCGTCTTTGAAGTTTTTACATTTTTCTGTACTTACAAATAAAATGATCCCTTAATACTTAAAACCATTGCTGTGCTTTTCCTCACCAAGGCTGAAGTCCATCGCAAATATTTATTGCAGTCTCAATCCCAGTAGGTTTCCAAGGCCTGACTGGATAAAGCCCTGAGCAGCCTGGTCTGACCTGATTTGAACAGGAGATTGGACTAGAGACCGCCTGATCCTCCTAACCTGAATTATTCTATCAGTCTGTGATACGATAGTACCTAAAGTAGAACAGGTCCAAAACCAGAGAACTAAGTACCCCATCTCAGACTGTTTTTAGGGCACTCTAAGACATGGGAGACTTTGCTTCAAACCCCCAATCACCATGAAGGCTTTCCTGGGTTCCCCTGCAAGCTTGATATCACCTCTAAGGAAATTCAGCAGCAAGTGACCCTGTACGGAGAAGGCTTTCTCATTCCCTTCCCCCCAACCATATGTCCCTGCTGATTTCCTTATACCAGCAAGAGCAGCTGTCTGACCTCATGGCAAGCCAGTTCAAGGAGCTGAGAGGCAGAAAAAAAACCCAACTTTTTTCTGTTGGTTTAGCTTCCTACCCTGGATTACCACGGGGCCGGACAAATGCCAAGTGTGAGCTCACGGGGGCAGGTGAGAACGCACAGTCAGTGTAAGAAGCAAAAGCAACTGCATCTTCCAGCAACTGTCAGCACTAGAACAGTTTAACTGAAATTACAGGCATTTAATTCTCCCCTCATACAGCAAGAAACCTAGATACTTACCTGGTTTTACATAGTGCCTGGGAGTTCAAGATTGTACCACCAATCTACGTTCCCTTTGTGGGTCTGATCTTTAGGCTAAATAAGGCCTAATTGATAATAGTGACTAAATTAAGATGCACTATCTTAAGCGATAGAAATCACAACATAAAGAAAATATACTGTATCTCACTTCTGAAATGTGGCAACACAGCAATTTTAGCTACGTTGTTGAGCATTTTATGCATGTATTTTCCCAAAAGGTTTTCTTACCGCATGTAAATGCTCTTTTCAATTTGGACACCATATATGGAAAAGTAATATGCTTATGGTGGGATGTCTGCCTTTGATTTGACACGAAAAAGCAAGTTCATACTTACATAATGAAAATAAAAGTTTTTATTCAGTTCATGATATTTCTTATTGGGTATTCTATTTTCCCAAATATTTATTCCATGTACAGAAATGTAAACCATAAATACAATGTAAGAGCAGCAAAACAAAATACACCCACTCAAAACAGAAGCAGGGAGAACTTCTTTGTTCACGTCACTGTTCTTCCAAGGAATAGCTGTAATCAGCCTGTCTGCCAAATCGATGCACAAAGTCCGGAAGGGGGAAAACTGAGCCCCATCCCACTTTGGGATTCATACTGATGAAATCATCCAAGTTCATCTTGGAGTCTAAAAAACGACCAGAAAAGGGAAAAATTTAAGTTCCTGAGGCAGCTTCTGTAGCACAGGTATACATCTATCAAGATCATGCCCTAAAAACCATCTTTGACAGTTCAATTCAAAACAGCGAAGGTTCATAGCACATAGATCCTCAAATTGTACAGTGCTACAAAAACGCCTATTTCCAGTCTCTGAAGTGTTGCTTTTGCCCCTGATCCCTCTCTCTGCCCATGGCAATAATCACATTACCGGATCAGTAAGCACCCTTAGTCACTAGAAACTACTATGTTTAGGAAAGAGTAAGATTTTCCCTGCAACAGCAGCCTAGAACGGTTGAGCCGTGTCAGAGAACTGGAGCGCAAATAACAACCGACACAGGGAACTGCAAGGCAACAGGTGCTGGTAGTCCTCCTGCAGTCACACAAACGTGAATACTCAAAAGCGGGGAGATATTACTCCCCCATTATTTCTGAACCAAAGTCAGCTGAGTCAGCTGTTGCACAGACTGCAGAGGAACTGGATCAGAGCAGCAGTCGGAAGTTGCTTCGTGTCTCTCAGATGTGATTAGCCCCTTGGCAAATCTACAGCCTGTTACTCCCCAGGGTACAGCATTTGCTCTGTATTTCCTCCCTCTCCAGCCCTGAACTTTGTCCTTGCTGTCCTTGCTGTCCACCGGCCCGCTGCAAGGCCAGAATGCGCAGACCAGAGGAAAACATCTGACACAACCCAGCCCGTAGCCTACAGGGATGCTCAGGCAAAGAAGGGCACAAACCCAGGCTGGGAGCAAACTTCTTTTTTTTTTGAATCCTGAACCACTGAACGAAGTCAGAGGGAGAAAAGGTTAACTGCCACAGCTTCAGGAGAAAAGTAACCATGACTGCTCTTTGCCAGGAGTTGGATTTGCTCAGACTCCTGCAGGAGAGGTAGAAACCATTCTGACTCATTCATGGATCCCAGAGAGCTCAGGGCAAAGTGCCGGTGTGGAGTTTTGGGTTTAGGTGCCTTATGTATCCTTTTTCTGGAGCTGGCCTGGTACAAACTTTGCTGACTCAGAACCATGCTGATCAGAGGTTTCCCATTCCTCAGCCTTTCAGCTCTGACTACAAACATCTGTGGACTTGTTGTTTTATGTTCTCACTGGTGATCTGCGCAAATAATCTTTTTTAATGCCCATTAAAAAAAAAATCCAAACTGGAAGAGAATGAGTGTAAAGAAAAGAGTGGGAGAGCCACTGGATTTACTGTTATAGCTTTCCTGCTATATTTAAGTATTTATTTTAACATGGATGATTCATGTGCACATTTAAGGATTAAGAACCAAACAAGAGTAGGCTCTAATGAATGGATTAGAAAATCCATAGGATGGAATTTGCTTCAGCTGCAAAAAGCTTGTGTAATTAGGCTTACCATTATGGACAGCATAAGCGAGGAAGGGAAGGCAACATTCAGGAATCCCACGCCCAGGAGTCCCAGCCATAATCCAGCCCCCGAAGCCCTGTTTGCACCACATCTACACCATGGCACGGCTTTGTGATTTGCCTAATCCCAGCTCTCACCACTTTTGAGGTCTGTCCCCTAGCTCTTGTTAACCTCTTTGGGCTCAGCCCACTGAAAAACCTTACGTTCAGCCAAGCATCTCCCTACTGCTGAAGCGAGTCTGGCAGAACAGGACCTATTTCTGCCTGACTATATGGGGATTTAAAATAGCACAAGTGCAGCAATTTGCTGTTGTAGCTCAAGAACAATTAGCGGTGGATAACAGCTCTTGCTTGCCGGTAGACTGGTAAACCTGTTTTCCAGTTCCCAACTTGTCTTTTCCTCCCACATGCTTTTGTTTTAAAATTAATGTGATCCTTCATATAGTTTAAGATTTGAAAGATAAAATAATCCTCTGCTTTATGTGCACTGAGCATAGGAGAATAATAATTTCATAAAACTGTTCCATGAACGGTAAAGCAGCCCAAAGGGCATTGTTCCAGTAGAGTTCCAAACACAGCTGCTGTTGTTACCAACTTGGAAGCTGCTGTCACAATGTCTGCAGGAAGTGAAATATTCCCTTAAATTCAGAAGGAGCGTGGCAGAGCATAACGCAGTCCGTCAGAGAAGTTCAGTGAAATGAAAAATTGTTTTAACAAAGCGAACAAGAACACTCCTGTGAAGAGCGGATGGTCCAAGAACTGGTCGGCAGATGGCACTGAAGCAGTATGAGAGCTCTCCACAGGAAAAACACAGTGAGGCCTCCCGTTTTATCCCGTTCAGGAGGTAAGTGGCTCTCTATGCCACTCTTCTTACCCACGTGCTGTATCTGAATGCCACGCATGTTATGTCAGACCTGGCAGCTTTAGGAAATGGCTCTGCAAAAATGCACGAGAACACCACAAAGTCCTCCTCCTGAAGCAGATAAAGAGTAACAAACAGGAGAATTTTTACAAGAGACATCTGGATGCTACAGTTGACAAACCAAGAGGATTTCTCCACAAAAGCAAGGAGGAACATGCTTTATATAACATTTCTACAAGGTCAAGAGCAGCAGAAGTTTTTTGGTTTTTTTTAAGATTACATTACACTTGCAGCCCTCCTCAGGTGCTGTGGCTATTATACTAGCTTGCATTTGTGCATGCTCAGAGCTCATCTTCCTCTTTGACCAAACCCACTTTGTTACACACATGCACTGTCAATGAGACCTAGCTGGTACATTCTGGGATTCTTGCATAATTTTACTACTGTAATCAAGTCTGACGCTTTTTTCCCCAAGCAGGGACGAAATAAAAGGCCACACACTACCAGATGGCATTGTCAGCCGTGATCCTTGTGGCTTCAGCCAACAGTAGTTAGAAAGCAGCTGAAGGGCTGCTAAAGGTGAGCAAGTCCAACAAAGCCTCCAAGATCAGCTCTGCTACTGCCTAACCTTGGGGGCATCTAAAATACTTACAAAGTTGGGCTCTTCAGGCACTTGCGTAGGTGTTTACAGTTCTCCTCAGATCCCTCTCCCTTGCCTGAGCAAGGAGAGAAGTTTTTTTGCAGGCAGAGCAGGAAAGGCTGTTAAAACACTCAGCTGGAAGGTGCTGTCCCCACAGCCGAGACACAACTGACTGTGCAAATCATCCTGGTCCATCTCGGTGTAAAACAAAGCTGGTCACCTTAAATTATCTTCCACAGAAAATGGTGTAATTTCAATAAGCCACTCACAGAATTTAAATACTTCTATGCTTAGATGTACTTTTACCGGCTCTATTCTGACTTGATTCTTCCACAAAAGCTCAACTGGAGTTTTATTCTCAAATGAGAGCAGGAGAAGGTTCCCATGATGGCCATGTGAGCTACTTATATCCGTATCAAGGCATCTTTTTCGCCTTCACTAGGATCCTACCACCACCTCAGAGAGGAGATCAAAAAGAAACTGCAGACACCTGCCTGGCCTCTGTCTAGTAGCTTTCCTGTTACATAGATGTGTCATACACAGTGCCTCCAGAATTCCTCAGCTGCCCTATTCATGCTCTTTACAACAAAAAAACCCAAACAAGTAAAACCCAAACAAGTAAAACTCCATCATTATGACTACCAGGGATTTTAATAATAATAAAAAGAACAAAAAGTTTTTACAAATCAATCCTGCCAGTGTGCTACCAAACACCTTGGGAGAACTGAAATCCAAACCAATGCTTTTCAGCGTTAGAGCTGATGCTAACAGTTGTATATAAGCCGTAAGACCATCTGTTCTGAGTAATTTTAAAATGCACTGTGCAAGCTCTGTTTTACACAGGCTTGCAGTAAGGAGAGCTGATCTCACCAGGACTTACAACTAAGCAGGATCAGACCTCATTAATTCTTAGAGAGAAGACTTAAAAGAAAACGCCAGGCTGGGCTCACCAGCCCTAGAATGATGAATCTGTGTCCCACATCGTACCTTCTTAACGTTTATTATCTGAACAAAATACCAGACTCACCCCTGTTTTCTTTCAACAGGAGGCAAACAGAGGCAATCAGGTGGGACCAGAGGAATCCACTGCAGCTCGTGCACGCTTATTTCAGCGTTGAGGACGGGGCTGGGTGAGAAAGCCCCGTGCACCCAGTTGGGTTAGCCAGCTCCTCCTGGCCTGCACCGCAGCAGGGCGGAACAGAGGCCAGAGCAATGCCAATAGGGGACACAGAGGCTCTGGGAAACAGCGAGAGCAGAGCCGGTTGCAAAGGGCTAATGCTTAGCACGTGAGTTCTGACGAGATATTGAGGAGTTTGAGGTTTTTTTGGTTAGTTGGTTGGTTTGGTTGTTTCTTAAAAAAATGATGCTAAGGTTCTTTAAAAAAAAAAAAAAATCACCCAGTTCCAGCTTCATTTTTTTTTTTAAGCATGGCCTGGAATTTATGACTCAAGATAAGCTTATTTTAGAAGGTTTATTTTGCAACCCCATGAACTGCACAAATACAGTTTAAGAATTATTCCTTTTGAGTTAGTAGCAGGAAAAAAATATGCTTAATTTGTTACAGAGAGAAATTCCTTGATTAAATTCCAAAAGGAATTTCATGGTCATTAATGTTTCCTGGTATATTTCATAAAAAAGGATCACTGGTCCCAGTATCCTGTTCTAGCTCCACACTGGGTAATTACGTTATCCTACCAATGGTCCTACTTAGCTCACATCTGGCTTAGATACTATGGAATTTCTTTTTCCAGAGTGCTATATTCAGGCTTTACAGCTGCTTTTTCTGGAAGAGGCAATATTTTAGTACCAAGAACAAACATTCTTGTCTTTTTAAGTTTACTGAAAGCTTTAAAACCAAGTGGGATAAGAGCGGTGTATATAAATGTAACTAATATGCTTTAACACATAGCAAATTGTATCAACACAACAGTACCGCACTGCTGATTATCTTTAAATACCAAGAGTTCATGGGCACGTTTCTTTCTAACAGCACAATGCTCATACATCAAAAAAAGACTGACACATTTTTATTGTATTTTTTCAGTCTTCAAACATTTGTTTAACATCAAAGACAACATACAGCAAACACAAGTAACATAAAAACCTTGCATACTTTTGAAATCTTCTCAAGAGCTTAGGAATTTAGCCACTCTAAATGACGGCAAGAAAATAATAACAATGCTCTGATCTAGATGTGCCTCACAAATAAATTGATACTAAAACAATATGTGGTCAATTCTGTCAGCCATTAAATTGCAGCACCTTACATGAAATATGTAAGCAATTTAATCTTACGCAAACACAAACTAACACAGAAAGCAGAGTACCCTATCTAAGTGAAATGGCAGGGAGAAAACAGTTATCTGCAATGGAATTTGGCATGGACGTGAAAATTAATACCCCAGGCTCTTTTACGATAACAAAAGGTCTGCCACCCGGTTTTTCATCAAGTTTAAAATAAGGTGCTTTTATGCCTTATAAAACTGTGCTGCGACGTTACTTTACCAGCCTCCGAAGGAAGAGAATTACCAGTTCCACTCATTGACAGCAATGCTTTCCAAATCTGTATGGTGGCCCGTGGGACACACGCTCATCTACAGAACCGCATCACTGAAGCACAGGACTTACATTCAGCTAGAAGTTAAAGCTTGTTCCACAACACTACAACCCAGACACCCCACTGACTTACACACTGTGCACCTTGAAGAACACAGCGTTGTAAGACAGCTCAAGTGAATACAGGGAAGGCAAAAAATAAAACTAGAGAAACTGGAACTGAATGAAAGGCAACTTGAACTAGATGTCCAGATCCAATACAATCTATTCCTGTTCTGACCCAGATCTTGAAGCTACCTTGTGATTGACCTTCCACCTTCAGTGGGTGCAGGGTAACCAGTTTCTTTCATCTGCAACATTCAGCCAACTGACTAGGAGACCAGAGCGCATCAGCACAGAACTGGGATACTGTGTCCAGTTGTCCAGTTTGGAGCTCCTCAGTACACAAAAAGAAACCAATCAAAAACCCAAAACACTGACATACTGGAGTGAGCCCAGAAAAGGAACATCAAGTTGTTTGAGGTGGAAGAACATGATATTCAAGGAGAGGCTCAACAGGACAACTGGACCTGTTGAGTCTTAAACAGAGAAGATGAAGGGGAGACCTCACTGGTGTCCAGATCTACCTGATCAGGGGACACAAAGAAGATGGAGCCAGAGCATTCCTGGAGGAGCCTGGCAACAGGACAAGCAGCAAAAAAAAAGCAAGTTGGAACATGGGAAATTCTGATTACATACTAGGAATTTGGGTTTTATTTTTTTTTTACCATGACAACTGTCAAGTATTGGAAGAGATTGCCCAGAAAGGTGGTGGAATCTCCATCCCTGGAGGTTTTTAAGATTAGACTGGACAGAGCCCTAAGGAACCTGTTTTGGGCAGGTGTTGGACTGGATGACCAATGGATGTTTCTTTCAGCATGGCACGGAACAGAGCAAAGAAATAAGGCATGAGAAGAACGAAGATCTGTGTATCTTTCGCTATCTACCAACATCAGAGACAACCTGAAGGTTGGTTCAGACCATGTGGCTGCTGCTCATCAGTGAGGTAAAGCTCAGCCAAGCAAGACAGATAAGGGGAGAGTTACAGGGTTTGCAGCCATTATTCACCACAGCTGGAGGTACATGTACATGTCTGCAACTGTTTGAGTCAGTCTCTAACTTACTGTCCACAAGTTATGTTTTCTACTCTTCTGATTAGAGTAGAATTTTTTCACCTTCCTGGTCTGGCCTAATCTATATTCCTCACACTTTTCATTAGCTCTCAACTATCACAACAATAAGGTTTCCACAGGCAAATGTCCTCGGCACCTAGGAGGCTCCAGCTAACAGTGAACCATGAACTGCAGTTCAGGCACTCTCCACTCGCTACACTACCCTTGTATAAAACTTTTACTGGAGGTAAGGACCAAGGCACAGAATTTAAAGTGCTTCATAACCTGGATTGCCTAGAAAACACCTAAAGCTGCATAATGAAGACTCCATCTGCGCTCCTGCCCACATTCATAACTCATTTCTACTCGTGTGAAACACCAAGCTTCCTTAGAAGCCAAAGCAAAGATTGAGAATTAACTTCCCAGCAACTTAAATCCACAATAAACTTGGACCTAAACACAAAACATGTTTCTTTGATCCTGCCTTCTCTAACATAAACACATAGCAGTACTGCATTACTGAAAAAGCAACAAACCAAACATTCAGAGCAATAACATGAAAACTCTTTCAAAGCAAAACTTCACCATGCTTTTCTCCATCTGGGAAGAAAATGAGAGAACAAACAAACACATGGCAAATGCTAGCCAGCGTGCCAAACACGTGAGTAGAATAAGCTGAAGTGTTGTGTGATAAGAATGGTTTACCAAGCTCTACAGAATAGAAGAGATGGCAAGTCTTTACTTCTCTCTCTGCTTAGCTCAGAGGCTATTATCTAGACAATCACTTAAAAGAGGCTTAGGGCTTGTGGAAAAATTAGCTGACTTGCCAGTTTGCCTTAAAAGTGTCCTCAGGTCCATTCACCTGGTAGAGAAACCTCAAACATCTTGCGCAGGCAAACCCAACCCGCTGAGCAGAAAACTTCCTCCTGTCAAAATAATTTGCTCTGACAGGACGGGACCTGCCGGCTAAAGTGTGGTATAACCAGTGTGTTAAAAATTCACCTTGTGACCCCTAAGCAAGTTATTTGGCCTCTCTCCTTCAGTTCCCTGCTGTAAGGGGAGAACAGTACTACTTACCTCTCATTCTCTGCCCAGTTTATGAAGACCAGTAATTAGTGTTTGACAATGGCAAATGCCAGCAGGCAGGCAAGACTTCACATGCTCAGAAAAGTAAGTGCCAAATGCTTCATAGCCCCGTTTGGTTTTTTTTTCCATACGAAATAATAAGCGAGCTGGATGTGCTTCTGGACACATGTTATGGAAGCATATTTATTTCCTGTGTGCATCTTGGATGATGTCATTCAACACTGTAAGGAGGAAAAACGAGCTCTGGCAGCTTACCTGCAGTTTCAATGCAAGGGTATAAAGGAGGGGGTTTCTGCCATTTCCCATTCGCATCTTTCATATGAGATCTGTCCGAAGCAAACGTCTTCAAGTACAAATCTGCTGGAATCATTCTGATTTTCCTAAATAATAATGCAAAATTGTATCGAAAGATGCATGTATACAATACTGCATTAGCCACTCAGAACAAGAGCCCCTTCCTCCCATCAAGGAGCATTAATTTCATTAAATACACAAACAGGCAATATTGTGCCAAGCAGTTAACTAGTTAACAAGAAACTACAGCAGGTAAGAAAAGGGCTTTTGATGACTAAGGTAAAGAGCTTTAGAAAAATTAACACAGCACGTTTATTTTACTGGAGCACAGCAAAAAACCTCTGTCACTACACATCCACAACGAGAACTTCAACTTTGATTTCATGAAATCACATTCACGGTCTTTATATTCTGGGTCATCACCTGTGAAACTCTGGACGAAGGCTGTCATCCAACCTAAAGGCCTCCATACTGTAGGTGTCAAAAGGACACGGAAACGGCAACACTGTGTCAAGATCATAAATGAAGTTCTGCTCCCCGCTGGAAACGTGGAGTAGAATAACATGGTAGTCCTGGGAAGGATAAATGCATTAGTTAAACAGCTGTTAGCAAGAAACTGGCAAAGGGGGTGAAAAAAAATGCCTCCTAAAAGCAGAAGCTAGAGATCCTTTCTTTAAATCCTGCTTTCTGCCCTTGAAGTATTAAGCCTGTAACATTTCTAGCACCAGAAGAGAGATTCCCCAACACCTGTCTTGCCCACTGTGCCTTTCAAGACACCTTGGCATTCTCCCCATTCCTTTGCAGCTTCCTTTGATTTAAGCCTGGACAGCTAAACTACAGTGTATGCTACTGCCAAGAAAACAGAAAATCTCTTTCATGTCCCACACCAAAACACAAAAATCGAGCAGGATAAGCATTTTTGGTTTAGACCCAGCCCTAAATAAAAGCTCTCAACAATATATGATGATAGCTTAACACTAAAATAATCTGGTGATCTCTTCTAATAAGAGATGTTGTACCTGTTGCAGTAACACAGGCTGGGAATTTGAGTGCTGAGGGTTTAGCTGCCCGAAGCACCTGCAAAACCGGCATGTAACTGAACAAGCAGCAAAGAGCTCGGATCGCGAGGACTGTAGGAGTAAGATGAACTCCTGTAGTAGCTCTTGAAGCAGGGAAAAAATGCCTCTGGGTACTATATCACAGTTTTTCAAGGTAACCATTTTGTCTTGACCCTGGGGTTATGAGGTGCAGTTTTACTCCTTAACTTGTAAGGAACATAGGCGTGGTGGAGGGTTGGAGAAATTGGAGTTACTTCTGTTAGGTGTCAGGTAAGTACGCTGCTGTTTTCCAAAATTAACCTGAAGGTAGCTGTTAACAGCTTACTAAAGCTTACATTAAATCCACTCACAAAAGGAGTTTGAAGCACCGTCTTTTGACACTTTCAATATTAAACGAAACCACAAAGGGAGTGGAACAAAAAAGATTTGGGCAAGCTACTTTGCCAGACCAATACACACATACAACTGCAGGCAACAGTATTTAGAAGAATCTGTTACAGAATATAAGAAAAATTGAATATAAGAAAAATTAACTACAAGCTTTACATATCCTACAATCCACTGAAACTTTGAAGTTAAGACACCTTTCGATCCATGAATTTTTATGAGAAATCAATATTCTGCGGTGGCCTGTCCTGACTCTCCTATTCCTTTTTAGATCATCTTCATAACACTTGGATCTCTTTTTCAACTAAACCTTTTTTGTACTATAAATATACCAATATTCTTGGAGAGAAGGAATAACTCAGAAATCACAGAACTTCAGAAGTTTCCAGATTATCTTGCAGAACTACAGAAACAGAAATTGCCACAAGAAGTAAGAGTTTTTTCCACACCAGATAACTGAAAGAACTCTGTAACGATGCTTATTTGAAAGGATTTCTGAAGTGGCAATTACTGAATTACACTAATTGATCAAATGACACTCCAAAGCCACCATTTATGAGTCAGTTTGATTGCTGAGACCTGAATAGCTATATTGCTTATATTTTTCTATCTTCTGTCAGGCTGACAATGGGTATTTTTATCCATCTACTTACAAGTACAGACTTGTACTTATAATACTACAAAGCTGGTAGCCTCAAAAAGATCCAGATAACAATGTTCACAAGTCTCATGTACTCTTAAAAATGTTTAGGTTTGTCACCTGCAGATTTTAGCGACTGTCTCGCTGTTAATTTACTATGAATGGTAAAAAGGAGCACCAGATTTAGGCTCTTCATAGAACCGGTTGTAAAAGAATAACAAATATTAATACAAAACTACAGAATGGCTGAGGCTGGAAGGGACCTCTGGAGGTCATCTGGCCCAAGCCCCCGCTCAAGCAAGGACACCTAAAGCCAGCTGACCAGGGCTGTGTCCAGACATCTTTTGAGTATCTCCAAGGGTGGAGACTCCACAACCTCTCTGGACAACCTGCTCCCGTGCTCCATCACCCTCACAGTAAAAAGGCGTTTCTTTATGTTCAGATGGAACATATACATAACAGTTTGTCACAGTGAAGATGGCTGACATTGCCCATGTCTGATGCTGCACCTATCAACTACAGAAGCATGCACTCAAAATTATTGAGAGAGAGAACAGAATGCCTTACCCACACAACAGGCTCATCTTCATGTCCTGATTTCTGTTTCCAGAGTGGAATCTGAAAGTTTTATGTGAATAAATCTTCAGTGAATAAAACCTTTCAGATTAATACACATTAATTTTAGGTTAACCGGTTAGTTCTTCACTAACCTATCCACTTCACCAGCCTACATCTGTGCTGTAGTCAGAAAATTTTCTCTAGTTGGTATCTTTCAGGAGCATGAAGTTGGAGATACTCTTCTGGACCACAGAATATAATCATTCTCCTAACTGACAGATTACAGGGAAGAATTAAGCCCACACCTCACAGGGACACCATGCCTCTTCCCATGGTCCTGAACGCACTGGACAACCAGAGGACCTCACACAGCATGGTCTGCATGCCCCTGAGCCCAAGCGAGCGTCAAGAGGGTTCTGGACCATGTCCCACTTAGGGGTTGGGCTGCGGCTGAAATGCCCGGCCCGTGTCCCACCAACGCCGGGCTGTGGTTGAAACGCCCGGCCCGTGTCTCACCAATGCCGGGCTATGGTTGAAATGGCCGGCCTGTGTCTCACTGTGTCAGGATCTGGTCTAAAGCCCTGGGCCCGTGTCCCACCTACACCGGGCTGCAGTCCGAGGGCCCCAATCTCCCCACGGCTGCACTCAGCTCACATCTCACCGACTCACCATCCTCCTATCATTGGATATGAAAACCGCATAGAATTCTTCCAAAGGGTACTGATCCCGACTCCTGATGTAATCGCAAAGTTTCCAAACATTTTCTTCACTGTAAGACACAAGGGTTGGTTATTTGCTTTCCCCCCCACCGCACTTCCAGCGAACACAGGCCAGCCCAGAGCCCAGGCCTGCTGGGAAGTCGCCCGGCGCGAACTCCGCTCGTGGCCAAGGGCTCTGCGCGACACGCAGCTGGTTGAGATAAGGCCC